GGGCGGGGCTTCTAAATTTCAAATAGCAGGTCCTTAAACAAGAAAAGGAGAAGAAAACTTTGAAATGTCAACATAAAGGTGAACTAGCTGTTATGAGAGTGTGAGCGGAAGGTAACATTCCAAGGACCGGCTCACGATGGAGGGGCCTGGGGAGAGACGTGGCGCTCATGTCATTCAAGGTCAGTGGTCTGGGTGATGTCTCCTGCAGACCCCCACACTGGTCTCCTTGCTGGGGAGTGCTACTGAGCGTGTTTTTCTGTGCTCCAGCTGGAGGGTGAGGATTGATGCACCTCAAATCCATGAATGTCTGTTTGTTTATGTTCACTGGGACTGTAAGGATGTTGATAGGTTTTTTTTTTAAGTCAGGGGCTTGTACTTGTCAGGCAGACACACTACCAACTTGAGCCATGTCGCTAGCCCTCTTTGCTTTATTTAGCTTTTCAGATATGGTCTTGCCTGGGGTCATCCTTAGGTCACAAGTCTCCCATTTATGCCTCTCACATAGCTGGGGTTACAGGCATATGCCACCGTGCCCTGCACATCCCAATAACTTTTTGCCTGGACTGGCCTTGAACCATGATCTTTCTGATCTCAGCCTCCCAAGGAACTAGGATTACAGGAGTGAGCCACCATGCCTGGCCTGTCTTTTTTTGTGTGTGTACCGGGGATTGGATCCAGAGCCTTTACATGCTCTACTGCTGAGACACAGCCCTGATCTTGCACCACCTTTTTAAAGTCAGGAGCAGCAGTGGCCTTAAAAGATTTTTCTGGGTGATTTAGCTGGGTGTGGTGATACATGCCTAAATCTCATCGACTTAGGAAGTGGAGACCGAGGAGCAGGAGTTTGAAGCCAGCCAAGGCAAAGTGAGTGAAACTCTATCTCAAAAACAAATTAAAACCAAGAAGAGTGGAAGTGTGGCTCAAGTGGTAGAGCACTTTTCTAGCATGCACAAGGTCCTAGGTTCCATCCCCAGTATGAAAAAAAAGTGGCTGGAAATACTTTACAGGCACTTTGGTAAAGGCGATGAACACTACTTTAAAAAGCTAAGAACTAAGCCTGTCCTAGGGGTTCTGCTGCTCCTCATTATTAAGAATGCTCAATGGAGAAGTAGTTGATATGGAAAGTTTTTCTAATAAAATGTTTTTAAATAAGTATAAGAAAGTATGTACTGAGTGCTAATCCATATATAGTGCTTCTTAGATTTTAATAAGTTGCCTTTAAAATTTTTCATACCATGCTGGGCACCTGGTGGCTCATGCCTGTAATCCTAGCTACTTGGGAGGCTGAGATCGGGAGGATCAAGGTTCCAGGAGAAAAATTTTCTAGGAGAAAAGTTGGTGAGTCCCCATATCAACCAATAAAAAATGTGCGTGGTGATGTGTGTCATCCCAAGTTCCACAAGAGGCTGAGAGTGGGAGGACTGAGGTTCCAGGCCAGTCTGGGCAAAAAGTTCATGAGACCCCATCTCAACAGGAAAAAGCTGGGTGTGGTGCTGTGCCCATGTCATCACAGCTGTTGTGGGAACAGTGAAATAGGAGGCTCATTGTTCTGCTGGCCTGGGCAAAAGTGAGACACTGCATCCAAAATAACCAGAGCAAGAAAGGGTTGGAGGTGTGGCTCAGGCAGTAGAGCCTGCCTCGTGGGCATGACACTGAGTTCAAACTCCAGTACCGACCAAAAAAAAAAAAATCGTCATACCAGGACTGGGGGGAGGGGAAGCTCAGTAGTAGCATGTATGATGGGGTTTGATCTCCAGCACTACAAAAACAAACAATCCCCCAAAGAATTGTCATAGCAGCCTTCAGAATACACAGGACTCAAAAAGTTACAGCATTTAATCCATCTCTGCAATTATTGTTCCTTGTCAGTTTTTAATCCAAGCATTTAGCTTTCTTTTTGGACAATTTTAACACATTATTGAGCTCTAATTATTATACTACATTTGTTTAAATTATCCAGTTTGATGAGTATGATCCTTAAAGTCTCACCACAGTGAAGATAGCGGACGTATTTGTCATACCTAGAAGTTTCCTGTACCTGTTAGCAATTTACCCCTCTCTCTGTGCCTTCCTCTCTCTGTCTCCACAACTACTGGTCTGGTTTCTGTTCCCATGGGTTACTTTGCATGAGTTTTATATGGAAGGTCTCATTCAGGAGTCACTATTTTGGGGCGAGAAGGATAGCTTCTTTCACTCAGCACAATTATTTTGAGATTCATGCATTTTGTTGCACATGTCAGTTGTACGTTCCTTTTTATTGCTGAGTAGTAGTCCATTGGATAGATCAATCACAATTTGTGTATCCATTCACCTGTCTGTGGACATCTTGGTAGTTTCTAGTTTTTGACTGAGATGAACATTCATATACAAGTGCAGCCTTGAAATGCTGTGTCACATTTTGAGCTGGATGTAGACGTCCTTGTGTAGATATATGCTTTCTTTTTGGGAAATACTTAGGAATGGAATGAATGGCTGGGTCAGGCTGTTTAATTTTTTAAGGCACTACCAAATTGCTTTCCAAAATAATACACCATTTTCAATTTTTACCACCAAGGCATAAGAGTTGCAGTTATTCCACATCCTAGCCAATACTTGGTATGACCAGTCTATTTAATTTTAGCCATTCTAGTTGTGTTAGTGAGAGTTCCATCACTGTAACAAAAAACCCGAGAAAATCAGTTTAAAAGAGGAAAGATTTATTTTGGCTCTGTTTCAGAGGTTTCAGTCCATTGTCACTTGGCTCCATTGTTTCTGGTCTGAGGTAAGCAGGAATATCATGGTGGACAGTGTGTGGGTGGAGAAGGCTGTTGACCTCGTGGTGGCCAAAGATCCTCTCTCCAACACATTAAGTTATGAATCCATCAATGGATTAATCCATTCATGAGGTCAGAGCCCTCATGATCCTGTCATGCCCCTAAAGGCCTCACCACTGAACACTGCTGCACTGGGGACCAAGTCTTCAACACATGAGCTTTTGGGAGACATTTAAGATCCAAACCAAACACTGCAGGATATGTAGTGCTATGTAACTTTGGTTTCAGTTTGCATTTCCCTAATGATTGATGACATCCTGTATCTTTCCCTGGGCTTATTTTCTACCCTATATCTTCTCAGAGAAAAGACTATTATATCAAACTTATCTTACTAATGCTTGTTTTTGATATAGTATAATTCGTTTTTAAAAAGTGTTGCAATATGAAATAAGTTTAGGAAACATAGTTTTACTTTGTCTACAAAGATTTACTCTGGATGTTTGATGTGAAAATTACAGATGTTCCTTGTCTTATGATGGGGTTACATATCAATAAATCTGTAATAAGTTGAAAATATTAAGACGTCAAAAATAGCTAGCCAATTAAACATCATAGCTTAGCCTGGCCTGCCCTAAATGTGCGCAGAAGACTGACATTAGCCTACAGTTAGACAAAATCATCTAACACAAAGCCTTATTGTATTAAAGTGTTAAATATCTCCTGTGTCTCACTGTGGTTGCCCAGCATGGAGAGGGTATCGTATAAATAGTGCTAGCCCAGGAAAAGAGCAAAATTCAAAAACTGAGCTATAAATCTTACTGTATGTGTGTTACTTTTGTACCACTATAAAGTTGAAAAGTTGCAAGTTGAACTCATGAGTTGGGGATGTTTGTATACAAACTTTGGAATCTTTTGACCCCCCCTGAGTACTTCCTGCATTTTTTTTTGGTGGTACTGAGGTTTGAATTCAGGGCCTCGTGCTTACTAGGCAAGCACTGTATGTCTTGAGCCAAGCCCCAGCCCTTTCTACTTTGGTTTATTTTCAGAGAGGGTCTTACACTTTTTGCTTGGACTGGCCTTGGACCAAGAACTTTCTCCCTCTGCCTCCTGCATAGCTGGGATTTCAGGAATGTGCCATCACATCTGTCTCCCTACCTTGTTAGGGTCTCCCTAACTTTTCTGCCAAGGCTGGCCTCTAACTGCCATCCTCCCATCTTTCTATTTCATGTGTTTTAAAAATTTGACTTCCCTAATCACTAAGAGATTTCCATCCAAAATAGGTTGGAAGATATCCTTGGTTTAGAGTAGGTAGCTGGGTAACCAGTTGGATTTTTAGGCTGTTTTCTTTCTGAAGTGCATGGATGGGCTATAGAGGTTGGCTTGAGTGTGCTCCTTTATCTCATTTACTCAGAACGAATGTGAGGTGCAGAGGCTCAGCAGTACTGGTCTTGAGGAAATGGAAGGCAAAGTCTCCAGAAGCCCCTTTTGCTGAGTGGATATCAGCAACCATTTAAAATCATAGCACTGTCGGTGGGAAGCAGGAGTGTGGAGATGCTCATGTACTACTTTGTAGCGTGGAAATGTGTGACTACATGGGAAGCTATTTGGTGTACTTATCAAGATATAAAAACGCCTTTTAGCCAGAGGTTATGATCTATCCTATAAAACACCAAAGTATCTGTGAGATATAAATGTTTAATGTAATTATGTTTGAAGTAGGGAAAATGGAAATTATTTAAATGACAATTCATTGTTTAAAAATTCTATCATGGAAAAAATATCCAGATTGTATTGAATGACAAGTGTAAGTGATGACTTACATGAAAACAATTTAGTTACCATTATTTTTTGTGGTGTTGGATATGAAACCCAGGGCCTTGCACATGGGTGGGTTAAGTGCTCTACCACCAAGCTACACCTCCAGCCCTAATTTTATTCTTTTAGATTATGTGCACTATGTGTATATTATAAAGTCATACTTTAAGGAGTTATATTCATAAGTCATCAAGGCAATAACTCACTTGTCAAAATTATCCTTGAAAATCTCTTCAACCACCCATCAACTAGTTAAATATAATTTTGTATTTATATACTTGAGTGTGCACACATATGTATGTATAGCCCTATCCCTCTATATGTATGTAAAAATACACTCTTTGTATATTTCTCCTTTATGCCACAAAGGAGAAGCAAGAATGCTCTTCCCTACTCTTATTGTTTTCTCCCTTTACTTTCTCGCCACTGGGAACAGGACCTTCTCCTGGCAGCGGCCTACGTTTCTGATGCCCAGTACAATAGGAATGTTCCATTCCAAACATCCCCTCAGGCCATCAGGTAACTAAAGTGTTAAATTGTCGTAGAGAGCCACCTGTCCACCAACACTTAGTATTCCTGAGGTTGAACCAATACTGAAGACAATATTCCACAGATATTTTTGAGAAGGATAGATTTGGATTACACCCCTCTCATTTCTTTGTGGTGCTGGAGATCAAGCCCAGGGCTTCAACATGCCAGGGAAGTGCTCTATCACTGAGCCACACCTCCACCCCCAACCCTATCTGTGTTTTTCAGTTATAAGAGTACAATGACTCATATGTAAGGGGCCCTTCCATTAATTAAGGAGAGATCAACAATTAATGAACTGCACATGGGACAGGAGATTGGCCTCAAGCTAAAAGCACATCATCATCTTTCTTGCTAGGGAGAGTTGTCCTCAGAGCCTCCTAAAGTGAAAACAGGGCCTTTTATTTTCCCTTCTGTCGCCTTTTGATGTAATCTACACATTTGTTCATTTCATGGGACTCAGCCTTCTCTGTACCACCCACTAAGGGTTGAGCCAAGATCAAGTATTTGGAGTAGAATAAGGAAAGAACATTTCTTGTCTTCAGGGTTCAGTGTCAATATCCCCAAAGGCAGCAAATGCCTCACCCCTGAGTGCTGTCAAGCAAGTGTAGGGACTGTCCTCATCCTACAAAGAGAACAATGTGACCACCAGATCTGTTCTGGGTCTTCCATGTTAAATGGAGTGCTGTACATTTTAAAACTGGTTTAGGCTATCGTGTTACAAAATGATAGATCACTGATTGAGGGCTAAGTGCTGACATGGTCACTGTCAAAGCCCTCCAAAGAGTATATTCTCTTATTACTGTCACAATCCAGTGAAGAGGGTGATAATCTTTACCCAAGACTTTTCAGAAAATGTGTTTTGAGATAAGATAGAAGTCTTTATTTTTTTTTTGCTAGAATTTTTAATCAGTTCACTTAAATATTCTAGAGAATTTTTTAAATTCTTTAGAATTTAAAAAAGATATAAAATTTATAAATTTATAAATTCTCTAGAATTTAAAAAAGATATAAAAAGGCCATAACTACTTTATTTTACCTACCATTTTTTATTTACTGATTTTATTTTATGTTTATTTTTGTTTACATTTTTATTATCATACTATTGTTGTACTGGGAGTACATTGTGACATTTACAAAAGTTTTTACAGTACATCAGAGTTGAATTCACCCCTTCCATCATTCTCCTTTATCCTCCCTCTCCCTATTCCTGAATACTGATTTTATTTTTGTAGTGCTGGGGATGGAAGTCAGGGCTGTACTTGCTAGGCAGGCACTGTACCCCTGAGTCACATCCCCAGCCCATGGTAGTCTTTTACGATGACTGATGGTGAACTCCAGTTCCATGGTTATAACCACCTTTTGTTTTCCTCTCCAGACTTTACTACTTTTATAAGCACTGGGCAATGCGAGCGGCCACGTACGTCTTCATTTGTGTACATCTTTCCCTTGCGCTGTTTGAGGAACCTGCTTTATTTCCACTGCCTTTCTGGGTAAGCATTAAACTATGATAAGGCCAACCGCATTTTGTCACAGATGAGCTGAGTTCCTTGTCTCTTCCTTGTTCTCCTCAAATTTCAACAAAATAGAATTTTGATTTCATTTTTTTCTTGCCGGGGGCTTAAAGACTTCTGTCTACATTTTGGCTGTCTACACAGAAGGCATTTTAAAGGCAGTGGCAGTTTTGGGTCTTAGGTTCAATCAATATGAAGGAAAAATCAAGTAGAGATGGTAAAAAGGATGGTTTAAAAAGCATATTTATTTAATGCCAAGTAGATGAATAGTGTAATATGTCATGTACCTGCCACATTTTCGGTCTTTTTCATTGTCAGAAATAATTAGAATATTTATTGGTGCTTAGTAGTTGACCACAGGGGATTTTAAGTAACACATTAAATTAACCAGCTAATCCAGGTGGGTATAAATGATAAATTGACAACCTGCTCATGTTGATACCCAACTCATCTTAGTGGCTCTCACTTGCTCAGGAATTACTGCCTGCTGTGTGCTCTAGTGTTCTCTCTGTACCTCCTTAGCCTCACTGGCCCCCCGCCGCCCCCCATAAGAGGACATTGCTGTAACCCCACCCACCTTTTTTTTTTTTTAACCAATTAGGGTTCTGAGCCTTAGAAGGGGAATTTACCTTGTCCAAGGACATTTGGTAGAGCTAGGCTGCAGGTTGAGTCTGTCTGATTTCAAAGCTATCACTTTATTTGAGCATAAAGACCCTTCTTTACTCTTTCATGTTTGGGTTACCTATTCCTATGTAACAAACTACCCCCAAACTCTCACTTAGAATGGGGAGTTAGGAAACTATGGGCGGTGGACCAAATTCAGCTGCTGCCTGCTTTTGTACAGCCTGGGAGCCAAGAATACTGCCATAAACAGAATGTGCCTCACTTCCCATTCCTGTGTTGAAGCCTAACCCCCAGTGTGACGGTATGTGAAGGTGGGGTTAGGGAGGTGATTAGATGGTAAGAGTGGATTCCTCATGGTGGAATTAGTCTTCTTCAGATAGAGGATGCCCCAGGACTCCCTTGCCCCTCTGCTATGTGAGCACAGCAAAAACAAGGCTGTCTGTGAACCAGGAAGTGGTTCCTCAGCAGAAACCAAACCTGGCAGCAACTTCATCTTGGCTTTTCATCCTCCAGAACCGTGAGAAAGAAATTTTGGTTGTTTGTATGGCACCCAGTCTATGGAATTGGAGCATAATATTTTGCAATACAAGGGGTAAAAACCAGAAGTACAGTTGGAGGCCATGAAATCAACACCCACACACTTCCCCAGGATAAAGATGCTGCAGTTAAATGGGTTTGCTCGTAGAAGACTTTTGGCCTGGTCACCAACACACGTGAAGTCTGAAGAAGCAGAGCTGTGCCCTCACAGATGTGGGCAGTGTTGTCGCCCTCCCTCAAACCAGCCCAGCCCTACAAAGGTGAAATTCCACAGAGCCACGGTTGGGCCACTTGCTGCTTTCCCTAACGCCTCACCTCCGTATGTTACGGGTCACCTGTTGCTGTAGAATTGGCCACCCAGCTTGCAGAGGGCTCCTTCAGCCAGCATTTGTGCTGTAAGCCTCGAAAGTCAACTGTGTTGTGAGGACTTTGACCTCGCTGCAGCATTACTGTGTAAGCCTTGTTTTGAGCCAGGGTGTGCTGGAATTGTCCCAGGCCTTCAGCCCTTTGAGGGTGAACAGGCTGACAGCTAGAAGGTTTGAAGGAGCTACAGCACAGATGGTGCCCAGGACCTGTGAGGGCTAGGAGTGTGTGTTGTGTCACTTGCTGCTTTCAGGCCCAGGGACAGTGCCTTCCTTCCTGTCCCTAAAAAGGCCCTTCCCTCCAAACTGTGGTCCAGACCTTTCCCTCTTCCTAAACTAAGCCTACTTTGACGCCCCCTTCTTCCTGTTGGTAGAGAAAAGTGGGGAGGTCTTCTTTTGTCTTGGCACATTGTTGGCTACAGGGTTAAACTGGCTGCAGTGAGTTTGGAGTTGGGGCCAACCATGAAAGGCCAGTCAGGACTTTTCACTGGGTCTCGGGGGCCTTCATCTTCTCCTCTAACCAGTCCATATAGACAGTAGGACTGTGTGACTGTACATTTAAGGAATGGACCACTGTTTCCAAATACATTTTTGGGGAATGGTTTTGTCCATTTTCTGTTGCTATAATAAAATTCTTGAAACTGAGAAATTTGTAAAGAATAGAACTTTAGCTGGGGATTGCATACATTGTAATCTTAGCACTTAGGAGGCAGAGGCAGCAAGATCAAGAGTTCAAGTCCGGGGGAGGTTGAATGAAGGAGATTAAAGTGACGGTGTGTGGTTGATGGACTTCATATACCGACATAAAATAGAACTAAGAAACCTCTTGCAATTGCTTTAAGTGGGGTGGGGGCGGTTGACGGGGAGAGACAATGAGGGCAATGAAACTGATGTACAAAATAAATCTAATCAGTGTTGTCACTATGAATCCCCCCGTATAATGAATATATCCTTAAAAAAAAAAAAAGAGTTCAAGTCCAGCCTAAATTACATAGCTAGAACTTCAAAAACAAAACAAATAAAAACTCTGAAAACAAAAAAACAAAACCAAAATAAAACAAAACAAAAAATCCAAGAGCTGGAGATGTGTTTCAGTGGTAGAGAATAGGCAAGACCCTGGGTTTGAGGCACAGCACTGAGAAAAAAAAGGAAAGAAAAAAAAGCAAAATAAAATGTAAAAGCTTGTTCAATTCATAGTTTGGAAGTTTAGAAGTTCAGGAGCATGGTGCCAGCATCTGTTTGCATCTGATGAAGGCTTTCATACTGCACCATAGCATGGTGGGGGTGGGCATCTGATGAGGGCTTTCCTATACATCATAGCATGACAGGGGATGGGCAGCATGGGAGACAGAGCAAGTGTGCCAGCTAGCTCAGCTTACTGTTCCTTTTCTTATGAAGCCACTGACGTCAGCATGGGGGCCTTGTGCTCCTGACTTCTTCAATTCCCAGTTAGCTCCCAAGGGCCCCACTTCCAAATGCCATGATCTTTGGGAACTAAGTTTCTAATGCATTAATTCTGGGAGACATAGTCAAACCATACCAGAGAGTTACCCTGCTATTTGAAAAATGTAACTTCTAGAAGCCCATGCTAACTCTGACCACGGGGAAGGTGAGAGCCTGAGGATGCCTCTGCCCTTCCTGACCTGCCTTTTTTCAGGTGATGTGTTTGGGTCCCCAGCCTGCCAGTGTGTCTGTGGCCTTCCCACAAAGCCCTGCCAGTTATAGAATACATGACTCAGAGGCAGATTTCCTTTGAAGAGAAAGAAACCATTCTACCAAGTAAAGAATTTCCTTCAACTTTCTGTAAAATGAAGGGTCCTGGTTAGCTCTGGAAAGGTGACAGGCAGGAAAGGTAGGATGGTGGCAGTGGTTGGGGGTGCCAGAGAACTACAGCAGAACCTCTCAATGTCAAGTCCCTATGCTCAGTGCCATCTTCCTGCAGGCCACCTCGATAGCAGAAGTGCTGTGCCTGACTGTATTCTTTGGGAGACTGGTACATTTTGCAAAAGTCACTCCTCAGATGGTTTTTTGGAAGGACACAAAAAACATTTGCATCATGGTGACCATCGTGGTGAGTGTTTCTGTGGTGCCTGGGGGGAGGGTGTTTGTGATCAGAGGCAGGAACCAGCAAGACAAAGACTTGTCATTTTGTTAAAACAACAGTGCCACCTTGATATAGCAAATTCCATAAACCCCATTGCAAGCACACCACAAAAGAAAGAACAAACATGGCACAGTATGACAATGAAGCATTTTAATATTATATATATATATATATATTTGGTGGCACTAAGAGATATATACACACATACTCACACTTATAGATAGATAGATACAGATTGAAATAATAATAAGCCATATATCTGTAGCTGCCTATAAAATAATATTAACAGGACTGAGAGAAAATAAAGCTTCTTATACCTTATTGGAGAGAGAGAAAAGCTATCTTTCTGGAAGGCTGTCAATTCCTTTCAAAGCCTTCAATGTGCATGCATAGGCGCTCTGGACTTTCAGTCCTGGGAATTTATCTTAAGGAAAGAATAATGCATTCAAAGATTTCACCACAAAATTGGTGGTGGCTGAGCAGTTCATGATTGAAAATCTGGAAGAAACTCAAAATTTTCTGACAGTAGATGCAATAGATATGTGTTAAATAAGAGGTGACATTATGTGGACCTTTAAAATGGCATTGAAGAGGTGTCATCTTCAAGGAGAGATGCTTACCATCAATTAAAAGAGCAGAGTAAAATATAATTGGATCACATCTTGGATAAAAGAAAAAAAGCAAAGAATGCTATATATTCATAGAAAAATCTGGAATGCTATATGCAAAGCAAGGTAGTATGTTCTGAAGTGTTCCCGTGATGAGCAGAGAGGCTCTTGAGTGATTAGATAAGGGTGCTTTTTTTATTAGCACATCATGGCTGAACACATAATTCTTTGCAGTTAACCCAACACTCAGTCTCACGCCTCACACCCCTGCAGGATCTATATAATATTCTTTTTCTGGTGGGTTGTCCATTCTAAGAGCTTCTGTGAACACTGGTAGAGCTACCCAGACTGTATGTGGTATTGGTTCATCTCTGAGTGTCTGTATCCTGTGGCCGTGGCTTGCTGGTCACTGCCACATTAGTATCTCAACTCAGGTGTGGTGGAAGCAAACCACCCTCTTCTTCCTGAACAACTCCCCTGCTGTTTTCCCTTTGTTATCAGGATTTTAGCATCCATCACCCATCCCCAAATCCTCCTCCCTTCTCTCTCACACCTGCTTCCCAAGCCCCACTCACATCCATACTAGTTCCCTGGATTTGGTGCCCATGCAGTTTCTCTACCTTGTGATGGGAAATCCTTGAGGGAACCCATGGGACCTTACCACCAAAGGGGGTGAATCACATTGTTTGATGATAATAAATTATTCATTCCTTAAAGTTTATATTTTTCTAGGACACACCGGGTTCTTCTTTTGTCCTGTCTTCACATTAATCTTTTGCCCACAAACCTTAATTGATAAAGATTAATAAAGATGAAATGTTTGTGTATTCTAGATATTATCTCTGTTACTAGGCTAGAGATCCTCTCCCACACATGCAAATAAACATTCCAGTTTATTCCGTGGAAACATGGAACAGTGTGATGAATAGTAAGGGAGCTTGCACATCAGATTGCCTGAGCTCCAACCCCAATTCTTCTTCTTTCTAGCTGGGTGATCAGGGAATATGTGTTTATCCTTTTTGTGCCTCAAGATCCTCTACCAGGAATAGTGAGCCTGTAATTGGTGTGGTGAGGCTAAAACGAGGTCATCTAAAGAAGGTGCTTATGATACTAGATGGACATAGCAAACCCTCAGACATTAGCTGTGATTAATGTTATATTGCACAACTGGAATTCTGCTCTTTATGAAACTTGCTACCTTATGCAAAACCATGACTCTCCTGGGTATGTGCATCCAAGTGGTTACTTCCTCTGTCCGTTGGCAGTGTGGTTCCGACATCTCTGTCCTGTGTCTTTCACAGCTGACCTTGATTGATCTGATTATCTATGGCTCTCTGGAAGCTGTTTACATCCACAGCGTTCGATGGTCAAGACCCTTAAGACCAGTCTTCCTAATTAATTTCTCTGAAAGTCGTCAGGTAAGGGTATGATTTAGGATATGTGATGGTTTCGTGTTGATTTTTACAGAAAATAATCTGGTTTATTGTACGTGAAATGTAATTTTTGTCTTCCTAGATTCGAAGGGCTTTCCGAAGCATCCGGAACACCCTGCCTGACATCCTCTACGTCTTCCTCCTGTTCCTTTTTAGTGTGCTCATATTCTCCCTTATGGCCTTGAAGCTTTTTGGGGACAGGTAAGCATACTTTCCCGGATTTTTCTGCTTGAGAATTCTCCCACATCTCGGGTAATCCTGTTGGCAGCAGAATCTGTTCCCAGATACATCTTCCTTGTTCCCACACTCCAAGAGTGCCCTTGAGAGGGAAAAAGAGTATCAAACTCAACTTAATTTATGTGTGTGGCTTTCACGTTGTGTTTTTGGTTCCTCTTTAGGGGACTGAGAACAGCAGAAGGAGCTTCCTACTTCACGAACATTCTGGAGACAGCATTTGAGCTCTACGTGCTGGTCACTACGGCCAACAGCCCCGATGTCATGTACGCAAGTCCCCCATCCATGTTCATGAACATCTGAAACAGAATTCGTGTTATTAAAAGCAGTCATCGGCTGAGGGTGTAGCTCAGTGGTAGTGTGGTTGCCTAGCATGTGTGAGGCCCTGGGTTTAATCCCCAGTACTACAAAACAAAACAAAAACAAAGCAGCTGTCTCCTGACACCAGCAGGGATGAGAGAAGGAAAAAACCAAGTATCTGTTTAGTCATAGTCATTATCAAACCATTGAAGAATATAAAATTGTACATTAATAAAACCTCCCCTCTCTATTAAAACTATGTTTTAGATGAATTCTTTAAAAAAATGAAAGCAACTGGAGACATCTCTTGAGATTCAGCTCTTGTCTGTTCTGGGCTCTTCTCTGAGTCTTGAGTTCAGAGACCTGAGCCATGTTTGTGAAGGCACATGGTGGCTCTTCTATCATTGATGCAGTAGCTTGATTACTCAAAGCAGAAAAGAAATGCAAACATTTGGAGCATCATCTAATCCCCCCAAGTGCCAATTCTCTAAATGTGTGCACATTGCTTAGGAGGAAAACCTTGCAGCTTCTTCTAATGTCCGCTGGTTATGGACTTTCCTTGCTCTGAATAAGTCAAATTAAGCATTGCTATTGAACAACTCTTTGCAGCTCCAAGGTGTAGGCAGAACTCTCCCTGTGCATGTCCGTAACGTACATCAGGAGTGAGGCCGTGACTTGTAGGATCATCCCAACAACTTAATCTTGCTTCTTTCACCAAGACCTGGCCCTGGTGAAAACATAAGCAAGATGAAGTCTCTGGGCCTGCTATGTTCTCTTGGGTCTTTCCCTCTAGACCCCAAATGCCAGCCATGCAAACACCCTGTGACATCACCTTCTGTAGGAAATTCAGTTTCTATTAAAGATGGTCCCAATTTAAGCCTCGTGTCCTGCCACAATATGCTAGTGCCCCTTTCATTCTCACTGTCCCAGCATGAATGGAAGTGTATCTGGCTCCCCAGCCAAGGCAGTTAGTGCAGTGTCCTTCAGAGCCCTGATTATATATGCAAGCCACACTTCTAGTTCTCTCGGTAAGTTCAGGCAGGTCGCTGTCCTTTCTAGGTCTGAGTTTTCTCATTATGAAGGGGGAGAATTGGATTGGAAGATCGCTAAGATCCTATTGGCTGTCAGTGTTGGGCAGGATAGAGTGAGCTGTTTACAATTAGGAATGATGATGGCTTTGAGAATCCCCAGCATACCATACAGGTAGCTGAAAGTGAGAGGAGGCTTGCAGTGCCTTGTGCACACAGACTGTGCATGTGGGTGCTGCCTAAGGTTAGCCTTATGTGCCTTGTGGAACTAGGACACAGAAAGTCAAGAGACATATTCGTTTCCTTCCAGGATGCCTGCATATAACTTCAATTGGTGGTACTCTTTGTACTTTATAACCTATATCATCATCAATACCTACATCTTCATGTCTGTCTTTCTGGCTGTGGTCTACAACAATTACAGGAAGCACTTAAAGGTAATCTGCATGAGTTTGGGATTGGGGGTAGGCGAGGGCAGTGCCTGGGCAGAGCACAGTGGTGGGGAGGCTGGCAGTGCATTTGCTAACTATTTGGGAGGGTCATCTAGTATTTACTTTGGTGGATCTGAAGGCTCATTTGGAATTCTGCCTCCCTCTTCTAAGTGGGGTGTTTCTTCACCGCCGTTTATGATGGGTTGATGGTTGTCTGAAGATATCCAAAAACAGAGGACCTGCCGGGCCACCTGCCCTCTTGTGTGCAAAGTCCTTGGCATTGCGTATTGCTCTTAATGCATCTAAAAGCAAATGGCTTTGCAACATGTTGTGTGTGATTGGGGGTTGGGGGTGTTTTCCAAGCTTGTAACTCCCTTCCCCCCTCCAACAGAAGCAAACATTCTTAAAATCAACTATTTCTGTTTTGACTGTGCCTGTTTGATTTATGTCTGGTGAATTCCTGGAGGTGTTCAGTTGGCAGAGGCTTCTGAGTGCTTGGGGTGGAGGGAAGTTTTATTTGCACCTGAGAATGCCCAGATATCTCCACCATCTCAGCTATATTCCTCCACTGCCAGGCCTGTTCACACCTCTGGGTGGCTGTTTCTTCTACTGTAAAACTTAATGCACAAAGAAACCTTTCATGAATGGGTGGTTTTCCTTAAGGAAAGACACAACATTATTGGCTTTTGACTTTTTGGTCCTGTTTTGAATTCTCCATTGTTTCCACTAGGGGGCAAGCAAAGAGGTTGGGGGGAATTATAGCGTTTCAGGGGCCATGGGCCTTGGGAAGTGTCTGGCTATGTTCAGGCCCTGAGGTACCTCAGTGTCTTCTGACCCCGAGGCCAGGCCTTCCCTGGCCTCTTCCTCTCTCTGGCTGAAGAAGCCACTTCAGAAGTTCTGGTGCATCTCTTCATTCTGTCATGGCTAGACAGAACTGTTGCTGTGCCTCCCTCTCCCCCAAGGAAGTGTTTCTTTGGGTAATATCTCTGGGAAACTAACCTTCTGCAACACACATCAGTTAACAAACATATCTCAGATGTTCTTTACCTGCCTGGTGCCATCCATGTTTTAAAGTGCCAATGATGGTGATACCTAGCTCTTGTCCTTTAAGCATGGACAGTCTAGCTGTGTGACTCATTAAATAGTGGCAATATAGAGTGACAGACTTACAGGGAGCAGTAGGAGTGGGCCTGGGGGCTGGACAGCTAGTTATAATCTGAGGAGGGCTGTTGGGTCTCCTGGATTCTAGAAAATTCTCTGTGGTCAGGTCCAGTGGCAGCCCAGGCAGGCCCCAGCTGCCCTCCTGCCTAAGACCTCTTCTACCCTCGTTTCATTTCTCTGATGCTTCTCCTCCTCCTCCTTCTCTCCTTCTGCACTGACCTGATGGTCAATCTGTTTTCCCCTCTCCTTGGGTCTTTCTTAGCAGCACACCCAATCTCCTTCCTTTCTGGAATTTCCTCCCTCCTGGGCAGAGTGGAGTTTGAAGCTGTCTACTTCCTACCACTCTTGTTTCTCATCACACAGATTTTCCTTCACGAGCTCCCTCACTGAAACTTGGTAAGATAACTTGTGTGCATGTAGCAAGAGGTAGCTAAATAGGCCTGGAGTGGGAGGGATTACGTACCTTGCTTATTAGCAGATCCATCAGGTCTTTTCCTGGGCTCCTCTATGACCTTGAACCATGTGAAATTGAAGAAATGACACTTTCTTGAATCATTCTCTTTAAACACCTGTTTTTTAAAGAATGAGATTCGTAAACTGGCATACCTGAAACGACACAAAATGATAGAGGCATTCAACATTCTGAAAGTCAAGGTGGGCACAGAGTTTATGGTAAAGGAGGCCACGTGGAAGCGGCTGGTGAAGGTGGTGGCGCCAGACATCAGCAGCTCCCACTTGGAGCTACTTTTGAGGATCTCCGACGAGGGACAGAAAGGGCATGTGGGTAAGGATGATCCTCTTCCCTGTGCTATCAAAAGTGGTGGGTGAAACAAAGTCCCACAGTCATCCTTTGCTATCTGCAGGAGATTGATTCAAGGACCTCCCAACATCACAAACACACAATCCACGTATACTCAAGTCCCTCAGATAAAGTTAAAATGGTGCAGTATTTGCATATAACATGTATATATCCTCTTGTGTACTTTAAATCATCTCTAGATTACTTACAATACCTAATATAACATAAACGCCTCATAAACGGTTGTTATACTGAATTGTTTAGGCAGTAGTGATAAGAAAAAATCCTGTATGAGTGCTGTACAGAGGCATATTTTCCCCTGAATATTTTTGATCCATGATTGGTTGAATCTGCAGATGTAGAACCCATAGATATGGAGAGCTGATTGTGTTTTCAATGGTTTTAGATTAGCAAATGCAATATAGATATGTGGATTTTTAGTTGCTGACTCATGTTTAGAGTCAGCAAGGTGGCTGGGTCCTCGGCCCTTAGCCCTGTTAGGTTTTGTCACCTGAGTTGTGATCGTATTTTTAATTAAATGAGGCCAAGGCTCATCTAGTTAGGAAAAGGAGTTCACCAGTCATGCATTTTATTACAGTTCTAGAGACATGGCAAGGAGAAAAGTGCCAGTGAGCTTCTGACTTAACAGACTTCCCCAGAGTTTTATTTATTGCAAAGCAGCAGTTGTTAATTTAAATATCATTACCAGGGCAAACCTGTTTTTAAGAAGATAGCCAATCAGCTGTGTTGGCTTTGTAGGACAATAGATCTTATTTCACAGGGCATAGCAATATTCTCTGCTGACTGGTGTCCCAGGAGACTCCTTTGTTAAGTAGTACTTTTAAAGACAGTTTTAGTAACAGAAAGAAGCCAAATACAGGGTCACAAGCTTCACAGCAACGCACCACGGTACAGGCAAGGGACAACAGTTCTTGAACCTTCCCAGTTGTGAGGTCTTGTGGAGTCCAAGGCTGAAAGCTGAAATTCTGTCAGCACTGAAAATGTTGAAACTTCAATCTAGTGTAAAACTAAGAAACATAAAGTTAATAGGTGTAAAAAGAAAAGGGCTGAATAGAGTTATTTTTTCCTTAGTGAATTAAGTTTTTTGTAGTTTCAAATCTTTAAACAGAGTTTGAATGCTTAAGTACTTTTCACTAACACATAAAAGCAAATATTGCAGGTGTTTATGGGGCTACCATGTGACGTTTTGATACATTTAGATTTGCGTAGTGTCTTAGCATTGTCAACAAAGAGAAGATGAGGCCAGTAATGTTGCATGTACAATAAGGGTTGACTGAGGTTCATAGGCTATTTTGTCTGTCTATTTTTATAAATAAAGTTTTGTTGGAACACACACTCATTTTTGTGCTATAGCAGCAGAATTAAGTAGATGTGAGCGAGACTGACCTGAAAAGCCTAGCGTATCTACTGTCAGACCTTATAGAAAGAGCTTGCTGATGCCTAGGCTAACTAAACAGCACTAAACAGCAGATGGACACAAATGCCTTCTTAATAGAATGTTACCATGTCTTGGGTTTCTTTGGTCCTTCATGTTCTACTGAATTTTCTTTGTTACAAAAAACTATACTATGATGTCACCTATATACCCACGATTTTTTGTTTCATTCTAAAAACTGAAGCAGAGATCTGGGAAATTTCCAGCACTCTAAATGAGAAGCTTTCTAGACTTTTAAAACTCTTGCTCCAACTCTTCATGGTTCTCTCAGCTACACCTGATTTTCACTTGTAATTTGTTTTGACTATTTTCTTTAGAGTTTCCAAAATATTCAATTTAGTTTTCAAAGAAGTAGCAACAGCTTCTTTGTGCATTGTGACTTCTTCCATTGGTGTGGTATTTCTTTAAGTTATACCTTGTTACCAGAAGTTCATACAAAAACAACTTTGGGGACCAGCTGTTGGGAGAGAGATACATGGGGTGGTGGAATGTAGCCTGCTGGCCCCTGGCATTCAGCAGGTCTAGAGACCAGCTCATCAGTTTTGGTGGTTCCAGGTGGGTCAATAAAACACCCCTGGTACTTTAACATAGGCATTGAACAAGTTCCCATGGAATCTACAAATTCGAGAGTTCTTGAGAATGGGGCAGGGAGGAAGGGGAACAGGGAGGAGGGGGAAGCGCACAAAGTAGGAGTCCATATAGCAGAGTATGGATTGCATATGCTTTGGAGCTTTTTGGCAAGGAAAGGAAGTGGGACTGAGCTTGGAAAGGGCTGTGTGAAGAAGAAAGCAGAGTGAGGGAGAAGGGAATTGCTAGCACCTGCAAATTAGCAAAATAATCTCCTGCTCCCTGAGTCAACTGAGGGTCTGGGTGGGTGGCTGGGGGGTAGGGAGGGATCACAAGCTGACTCTGTCATCTGCTGGCTCTTTGTCCTTGGGCCTTCACTTTTTGGAGGCTTTAGGTCTTTGCCTATAAAATGTAGAGCTCAGTGTCTATGCTGGCTTGGACCTGGTGTCCCAGCAGCCATGGATTGTGGGTCATTTTTTCCTTGCAGACAAAACGAACTTTCTCCGCTTGGCTGACCTCCTCAACATCCAGGTGGTCACCATCAACATCAAGAGACATCCGCTGGAAGCCTGGGTACCCCGGGTATACCAGTCGTCTGCCAGCCTTTTAATCAAAAAGATGGTGCGGCATAGGCAAGTGAGACTGGGCCAGTTGCTTCCCAAGTTCCTTTATAACTAAAAGGCTGTTGACACCATCTGGACTGAATGTGCTTCATCATTGAAGCTACAAAACCACACCTCTGCTCACTGTTTTTAGTTTCTCAGGAAGGCACAGAGAGAGTTCCAGACACACTGTGTTTGTAGCTGAAACAACAGCCATGTAGATTATGCTTCCTTCTGTGATATCTCCTAAGATGCTCGCAGACCGCACACTAGGTTTATTGTTGGAGCAGGGGAAGCTGACCGTTCTTTGACATCAAGAAATTCCAGCCCCATCTGGTTAAATATATGAAGTTGATGTGTCAAATAGGACACTTTGATTCCAAAAATTATTATTTTTTTCTTTTTTGAGACAGCCCTTGCTATGTAGCCTAGGTTGGCATTGAACTGGCAATCCTTTTGCCTCAACCTCCCAAGTGCTGGGATTGCAGGATGGATTTACCATGCCCAACTTGATTCTGAGAATTACATGGTCAGGATACATGAGTTTGCATGGCTGGAATGATTGTTAAGGAGGCCACTACTTCTTTTATTTTCAAGCAGATGGTGTCTGGAAGGAGCCATTTATTCTGATTCAAGATCTTAATTTTAGTATGTGCACCTTGCAGTTCAGCCTTGGTGGGCTCTTGCTTTCTCTACATTTTGTGTTTCAGAACAGTAACTGGTTCAGGAGTCTGTGGAACAGGCAAATAATCCCATTTAGCTGCCTCTATCTGAAATTTATCAAAGCCCTTTACATAGATGTTCTTTTTTGTTAATCCCACTGTTGAACTACTGATGTGCTTCATGTGGGGGACATTGGTGTGTCACATTCACACTGCGTGCTGTCTCTGAGGTTGACAACATCACAGAGAACCTGAAGATGGCCCCTTCTTTGTCTTCTATAGTCGTGCTCATGGAAGGGACCCCTAGGGAACATGGGTTAGCACTGGAGCCAACAGAGCATCAACTGAAAGTCGAGTTAGAGCCCAGTTATCATATTTCTCTTCAAACTCGGTGAAGAAGATGGAAAGGCCAGTCCCCTAGAAGGCCGGTGGGCATTAGAGGTGAAGAGGTTTTCAGAAGATTTCTTAGTTAAGGATATGAATTTTCTGGGGACCAATTGTGCTAAATGCTAAACCTCCTCCCTACCCTCGTTCTGTCTAAGCTTTCATCTGGTCCAGGTGCTGTCTACCAAGGGGAACCTGGGAAAATGACACCTCTCTGTTCTCTCCCTCACTCTGTCTTCTTCATTTTCTCTTGGAGAGAAGGGCTGCACCAGAGTCAGTGGGAAGCTAATGAATTTCAGGGCCCAGCCATGCTAGAACCTTCCATAGGTAAGGAATGTATGTGTGCATGTTGAAGGGATCCCATACTGACCATGTTTTAAAGAATAAAGTAGCCTGCTGTAGCTCCAGAGTAATGTTCTTTTCAGTGAAATGGAGGGGGAGGTGACAAGATCTTTTATTTCTCTCATGCCAGGATTTTTATCTGGGTTTATGATGTCATCATTCTAATCAATGCCATATTCATTGCACTGGATGAGAAAAATCCCTTCATCTCCTATGCAGAATGGCTCTTCCTTTCCCTTTATGTAATCGAGATTCTCCTGAAACTGTACACGTACGAGCCCAGAGCGTATTTCGGAAGGAAGCAGTTCTGGAACTGGTAAGTGTGTGTTTGTGCATGTGTGTGTCCTGGAAGGAGAGAGTTGACCACAGGGTATGAGAGGGGACTTTCTGTCACAGTTCAGGGCACATAGCTGCACATCTCTTAGCTACATTTGGCCTGTTTTGAGGCATGTTGTAATGAGGTCTTGAGGATGGGAAATATCTGGTTTAGGGAAAGCCATCATTCGTGCTGTCAGTTTGAACTGACTGTAGCTAAAATTAGAATCATAGACCATGGCATCTTAGAGTTGGAGAGGATCTTTAAGAAGAGGAAAACAGCTGGGCACCGGTGGCTCACGCCTGTAATCCTAGCTACTCAGGAGGCAGAGATCAGGCAAATAGTTCACAAAACCTTATCTTGAAAACACCCAACACACACACAAAAAAAAGGCTGGCAGAGTGGCTCAAGGTGTAGGCTCTGAGTTCAAACCCCAGTACTGCAAAAAAAAATAAAACAAAAACACATTTTTGTCTTTTCTCTCAACACTCCTGACACCGAAGGTGTGGGTTTTTAATTCACAACAAATAATTGTCCAACTCTGAACATTAGCTGGATGTCTCACAGTTTGATTCAATTCTGACACTATTTACCTAGAGTTACTGTCAACATTACAAGGTCTTTAAGAGTGCTGGCTGGGAACCAGGGTTGTATTTCTTATTAACACGGGCTTTTCATATTTAAGGAGACAATTCCTTTCATGACTTCCTGGCTCACACTCTGGTCTTACTATTATAAAACTCAGCTGATGGAGTGGGGCAATGGAGACTGTTGGCGAGCTTGTCCCTAGATGGAGCTATGTCTCTCTGTGGACCTTCTCTTCTTCAGACTTTGCATTTTTGTCCTCTCAGCACAGCGTGGCCCTAGTGCTGAAAACTGGCTTGTGCATCTTGTGTGTCAGGCCCTGAGTGATAGAAAGATACATGTCACTGGCCTGACATAAGTAGTTCACAGCTCGGCAAGGTTGGATCTCTGTGGTCACTGCTCTAAGAGTATTGACCAATGTTTTCTTATTCTTTGGCATCAGAGAGAAAAGTTGTGACATGATGAATTTCTTCTTCAATTAAAAAGTTACAATGCATTTGGTGAAATTAGTACCTAGAAAGATGGTACTAAGTATTCTGTAAATGAATCAAAGTGTTCTTAAAAGTATAGGCTTATTGAGGAAGACAAATAAAGTGATGTGAATGAGCTGATTCCTATAAATTCCCTTGGATGAACCTTTGGAGCAGCCAATGAATGATGACTGGGTTGACCAAACAGTGTTGCTTGCTTCATGTCTACTGTCCTGAAGATTTGGAAGCAAATTTTAAATCTGGATCATTGCTTTGTATAAGATACTGGATTCAAAGTTCTCCCAGATGCTTCATATCTTGAGCTTGATCCAGGCCTTTCCCTTGATTCTAAACAGCTTTGCTTTTGCACCATTAGGTTTGACATGCTGATCATCCTTGCAGCCCTGGTGGCCACTGTGGCCAATGCTACCATTCAGTCAGGTCAGTGCCAACAGTGCTCAGCTTTACCACCTGCTGGGGTCCAATATCTAATCAGTACTGTTCAACATCTACAATGCACTGTTAAGATTTTGGGGCTAGGGAGTGGAGCATAAGACTATTATTAAAAATGTTTCAAGGGGCTGGGAATGTAGCCCAGTGGTAGACCACTTGCCCAGCATCTTGAGTTCCATCCCCAGCAGCACACACAAACAAAATGTTCCATGTTCTTGAGAGGGATTGATTTTAGAGATTTTGTAGGTGGCTATTACACCTAATATTCACTTAGTCATCTCTCCCAAACTGGGCCTCAGTCTCAGGGCCAACTTCCACTCTTTGACCTTCTGCCTGCCTTCACCTCCCACCCAGCTTCCAGACGTAGCAGGAACCCTGCATCCTCCCTGCTCACCACTGTCTTCTTTCTACCCTCCTCTGGCTCTGCCCACACATACCCCCAACCCATGCACACTCCTTCCTGCCCTTGGCATGTGGGACTATTCAAGACAGTGCAGGTTCTTTATATAACTCTGAGATGGATTGTGAGAAAATGGAAGGCTTGTGGCAATGTGTTCTGTACACTTGGATCCACAGTCACTTCTTGATGTAGTCTACATGTGCACACCTGGTTCCTTGGCTCTGATGGGTGGGGAGAAGGGAACACTCAGCTTCTATACGCACTGGTCTTGGCTTTGACTTGCAGGGTCAGGATTTCTCAGAGCCATTGTCCTGTTGTTGTTATTGATCTTCCTCTTTTTCTTTGTCTTCTTCTTCCTATTCCTCCTCCTCCTCTGTCTTTGGATGGAACCCAGGACCTTGCACATTCTAGGCAATTGCTCTATCACCCCACCCTCATTGAGGATGAAGCTGCATCCTTCCCCAAGCCCCACAGAGTCTCAGATGTCATTGAATGTAAGGGACAAGTCAGACACTCTAAAAAACTTTAATGTTAAAGGACTGTGTTCCTTTTCCAGCAAGAAAATACAACAGTCAGCAGATACTGGATATTGTCTTGATATTGAGAATACTGCGGCTCTTAAGGGTCATCGTCAGCATTCAGAGGTACAAATGAAGTGAGGTGAAGTGGCTGCACTTAGATAGAGGCCTGGTGGAAAGCAGTCCTGCTTCATAACTGCAATACAACTAACCATGAAGCCTGCACATAGCTTGTACAGAGGGCCTAGGGCTCTCTGGGGGCAGCAGGCTAGGGGAGAGAAGCCAGTGAAGATGGGTGAAGTGCACTCAGATGTCAGCTCCCAGGGATTGTGTTGGTCACTTTCATTCCTGCGACCAGCCCTGAATTGCACCTGTCTGTACAGTGACTGCATAAGAGTGTCTGTGATGGCACTGAATGCTAACTAGAATGTGCTAGTCATTCCCTCGTTAATAACCCTGATAAAAGGACTTTCCATTATCCCTAGTTTACAGATCATGACACTGAAACTCAGAAAGTTTGTCATTTCCCCCAGAGGTGCACAGCTGGAAAGAGGCAAACCCAGGAGTCTGGCCCCAAAGCCTGGATAAACTCCAGCTTTGGTTTTTGATAGGCTAGCTTCCTTTCAAGAAATGGTGGCGGGGAGAGTGGAATCACCTCCATCCTGGGACTGGCTCCAGAAAGGATTCAGTTGTTGACAGAAGCCTCCAGGACAGCCTTAAGTCAGGCTTATTTTTTTTGGCTGTGTGGAGGCTGAACATAGGCAGGGCCTTGCATTTGTTAGGTAGGTGTACTACTATTTGAGCCACCCCCCATCTCTCAGGCTCAATTTTGATGGAGAAGGGAGAGAAAAGCAGATGAGGCTCAGTAGCTTTCTACCCTAATGCCCTCCTGGGTCTCGATGGTGAAGTGTTCTGTGATTGTCTTCTAACGTTTGTCAAGTCAGCCTCACTTTACTTCAGGGAAACAACAACTCAACTCCCTCTCACCTTAGTGGGTGGCAAAACTCCTGCCATAATTGACAGTTACAGGGCTTGGGTGAGGATATTGAATCAAGGGTGCTAGTTTGGGGTCAGTGTTGCTCTCCATCTTTCCCTTCGCCTTGTGTCAGAAACTTTGCTTTATCCTAGATTCCGGGTGATAGTGACCACTTTAATTAACATTGGCCCCACCATGCTGATGTTTGGCGGTCTTGTCTTCGTAAGTAACTGATCTCCTTTGCTCTTCAATGTGAAATAAGTGGTAGGATGTCCTGAGACTTATTTTTTTTAATGAATTCTTTTAAACACAAAAAAGAACAAACACAATTTATTACATGCCTAAGGCATGGGAATATTAGACTCCAGAAAGTCTTACTTTAAGGGAGGGGAAGAAAGGGAGAATAAGTAGATGAGAGGCATTGGTTTCTAGTTGTCATTCTTATAAAATATCAAGTTTCTAGAAACAATGGGCATGCATCCAATAAGGTATGTGCTGTAAGAAATGCTGTCAGTCCGGTGGGCTAACCAGCTATAGTTTCTTCCTTGCCTGGGAATTCTGAGCTGGCAGATGACTGACATATGGTCTTTCAGCTCATGGCTCCGTCCCCCTACCTCCCAGGCCTCAGGTCCTTCATCCTGATTGTGGAGAGAACCCTCCCACCTGTTCCTCCACATCAACATCATATAAAGCCACACCAGGCTGGGGACCTTCTCACCAAGGGTGGTTTCACAGTGGATGAGGGAGCTCAAATATTGGCGAGCACTGCAACAGGGCACTGGGTTTTCTTTTCATTGATATCATTAAAAAATTCCATTAGTGACTGGGCATGGTGGCTCAAGACTGTATGTAATCCTAGCTATTTGGGAGGTGGGGATCAGGAGATGTCCAGTCCAGACATAAAGCAAGACCCTATCTCAAAAATAAACAGCACAAAGGACTGGCGGAGTGACTTAAGTTGTATAGAACACCTGCCTAGCAAGCGCTAGGCCCTGAATTCAAACTCCCAGTACTTCCCCCCCAAAAAAAATTGCCATTAGGAAGGAAGAATAAAAGGTTGACTGTAAGTCACCCATTCCCATCCCTCATGTGCCTCTTCTCCAGAGGAAACCAGTATTAAGAGTTCTTGCTACTCTTCCTAAATATTTCTACACACACAAATATATCATCACTGTCTCTGTATGTGTCCAGTTTGTTGTTCAGTCAAACGGGATAATCATTCAAAAGGTTGTCGCACAACTTTATTCTGCTTGACATCTTTATTGTGTTTTGAGAGGCTCCTGCATCCAGGTAAGCTCTGCCATGATTAAAAATGTCCCACTGAGAGAAGACTCCAGAACATAACTGACCACCCCTTCTACTGACAGACCATGGGCTAACCTATTTGCCATCACAAATGATATGGTAAAGATTTGTGGCATACAGTTCTAAAAGTGGAACTTCTAGGTCAAGGATAAATGGGTCCACAGTTTGGCTTGACAGTAGCCTTCCCAAAGACATGCTCTCACGTATGTTCCAAACAACAGTATGTGACAGTTTCTGTTTCTCTGCCAACAGCAGGGTTTATTCAACATTTCCATTTTTTCCAAATCTGATGGGTGAGAAAATAGCATGGTGCTTTTTTGACATGCATTCATTTCATTATTCATGAGGCTGAGCCTTTCGCATAATGCATATTTTTCTGCAAATAGCCTATTCACCTCCCTGGTGTTTTTTTTTTTTTTTTGCAGTACTGGGGTTTGAACTCAGGGCTTTGTGCTTGCTAGGTAAGAGGCTCTACCACTTGAACTATGTTACAAGCCCTTTTTATTCTGGTTATTTTTGAGATAGGTTCTTGCTTTCCTCTTACTGGCCTGAAGTGGGATCCTCCTGTTTTATGCTTCCTGCCATATCTGGAATGACAGTGCATGCCACCCTGTTCAGCTTTTTCCATTGATTGATATGAGGTCTTGCAAATTTTTTTGCCTGGGCTGGCCTGGAGCCACCATCTTCTACATCTCAACCTCCCTGTAGCTGGGATGACAGATGACCAGTACTGTGCCCAGCTTTGTTTTTGTTTTTTGACATGAAAGCTTTTTGTTTCATATTTTTTGGCCATATAAAAGTTTAAATTTACTATTTTATAGTGATTTTTAGTTTTATAGTTTTTCTGCTCAATTCCTCCCCTGTCCCAGTCCTGTAGGTAACTTTATAGTTTTATTTTTTATGTTTAATCTTTTGATACCTTTGAAATTTATTTTTGGGAGAAAGAACAAGGTAAAGACCCACCTTTCTTTTTTTTGCTAGAGAACTGCTATTTAGTGAGTATTTAACCTACTGCCTTGCTAGCAGTTTCACTTTCATCTTTATAAATGAGACCCAGGAGGAGGTCAGATGTCATCCAGCTGGCAGTGCCACAGACTGCCTAGGATTCTCTGGCTAGAGTTGGTTCTCCCCACCCTTTTCCTGAAGGTGCTTGGAATTCTTGGTAGGGGAGGGCAAACTTTCCCAGGAATACATAGGCAGCTCCTTTTGCTGGAGCCTGGACTGTGGGCAGGGCAGTACCCGGTGCTATTCCTGGGTCTCCTGCAGGCTCCCTGCACAGCACTCCTGCAGCTGTTGGTGCCCCTTGGTGACTGGGTGCCTCCAATCCTAGGTGGTCTACTATGCGTTTGCTGTCATTGGGATGGAAGCGTTCCATGGCAAAGTCCAGTTCTTTGATCCGAATTTCACCACTTCTGATGCCCTGGTTTGTGGGAACCCAGCCTTAAAGGGGTCAGCATTTGCCCGAGACAGGTACTGCAAGAACAACTTCAACGACCTCGCCTCTTCCTTTATTGTGTTGATGGAGCTTACGGTGGTCAACCAATGGCATGATATCCTTTCTGTGTGAATCACTGGCATCGCTTCCTGGGATGGGGTGGGGCTTGCCAAAAGAAACTTCTAGAAGAAGGATTAGGCTTTGGCACATCTTTGAGCTCAGGGGACCTGCTAAGTTTCTTGAAGGTCTGGATCCTTAGCCTCCCACTCCTGGCAGATGGCTTTGCCCTTGTGACCCACCAGGCTGCAAAGCTGTACTTCATCTTGTTCCACATTGTGGTCGTCATCCTCATCGTTAAGTGAGTTTCCTTCTGCCGACTTGGACATTTGGGACCTTCTTTTTCAGAATATCTAACCTCAGTCACTTCTACTGTTCTTTGTTGTGAGCAGGTCTCATTCCCTCATGAAAGACTAAGCCATGGAAGGGAGGATGTCTTCTGTTCCCATTTGTGGTCCTCTTAGTGGTCACCAGCTATAAATGCCTATCAGTCTATAATACACATGTCAGAATCTCAGAAGTTGTTTGGGTTAGAAGGAATCTGAGGTCCTGGCTGGCCTCCCTCCTCTTGCCCTCTGAGATTGAATCGCCTCAAGAACATCCTGCTGAATTGCTATATAGCCTCCAACTAAATCATTCAGCAGCTGGGACTCTGGAACCCGAGAGAGTCAGTTCCCTTGTTTTCCTGCTCTGGTCCTTAGCACTTCCATGGGTAGGATGGGAGCATGGCCTTGGTGGATCCTAGTAGGATAGGAATCTGTCTCTGGCAGAGCCCAGTAGGATGGGAATGTGCCCCAGCGGATTCCAGGTCTGTCCTTCCCCTTTCTCATGAGAGAGCTCAGTAGATGTTTGAAAGCTATGGTGACTTCTTGCCCCTCAAAAGGGCTCTCCTTCCAGTTGGAATCTTTGACTCTAGTTCCTTGTGTGATCTGCATTTGAGTCCTGTGACCACCATGACTCTCTCCTACAGGACTTTCTGGTGGTCAGTCCCATCTCAGAGCCTAGGGCCTGGGTTCTTGGGGTGACCACCCAGCTCTAGTGCCCTTTCTGTCACATCAGGGCTGGTCTAGACACCCTTTTACCTGATAATTTGTCCCAGAATGCCTCAGGGAGTGTCCTGGCAAGGAGTGGGAGAGAAGGAGCCCTGCAGGGGGCCTACCTACTTGTCTTATACAACCTGATGGGATGCAAAGGAGAAGAAAGGGGAGCTGCCTCCTGTAGTGACTCATGGAGAAGTTAACTGAGTGCTGGCATAGGTCAAGGTAACAAAGTGGAAAGACTGGGATTCTTCTTTCCCCTAAAGAGCCTGTGAGTGTTGTGACAGCCCTGGGCTGTGTCCTTATTATCATTAAAGTCAGAAATAGCAAAGGGACCAAGAGTTTACTCTTCTGCACGGTACAGACTGGCCTGCTGCACATATGTAACAGAACATAAGACTGTGTTAGAGATGAAGATGGTTTGTTATTCATGATCAGATCAACAGTACAGAAACACTTTGCGCTGGTTCCCTAACCTTGAGTCCCCAGGTAGTATGGTGAGGGCCAGTGGGAGCAGGTGGCAGTGCAGGAGGGCAACTCCGAAATTAGAAAACTCTGATCTTAGGTAGGGCTGCTGGCAACCTGCCCTTCCTCTGAGGAAGTGGGGTGGGAAGACTCCATCTTACTCTGGGATGTAAGAGTCCTTACTCTTTGGAGGGAAAAGTGAAGAGTATCTTGCCACTCTAGACCATCCTGAGGAGGGAGAAAGCTCTCAGCATCACTCTGCTAAAATCCCTCCTTAGACAGATATTTCTCAGTTATCCTTAAATGCCTTTGTTCAGTGGACCCAGCTGCTGACACCTGAGATATTCCTGGAGCATTATCACTGAACAATTGTTTGGCCTAAGCTTCCTCTTCAGATAAAGTGGCATTTTCTGCCAGTCATGGTGGTGCACATCTGTAATCCCAGCACTGGGGCGGTGTGTGTGTGTGTGTGTGTGTGTGTGTGTGTGTGTGTGTTAGTAGGATTGAGAGTTTGAGGCCAGCCTGGGTTACACAGCAAGATCCTGTCCTCAAAACTCACCTTCTCCCCATCCATCCCCCCCAAAAAAGTGCATCTTCTCACCATTCATTGTTTTAGGAGGATGTAGAGGAAGAATGGTTTTCCAAGTGAATGAAAGCCATGTTCAGTCCTTGAGAGATGTTTTATCATTTGTCAATTCTCCTTCCTGGGTAGCATTTCCTGGACAGCAAGAGGTTGCCTTTTTATTTGGACTCCAATGCTTTCTGCAGACAGGATTCTTTGTCATCTAGCTGGTGGCTGACTCCACCTGGCACCCTTTACCTCTTTCTCTTTCTTAGTATTTTTGTAGCATTCATCCTGGAGGCCTTCTTTGTGGCGTATTCATTAGAAAAAAGTGAACTAGAAACTGCCATTGAGAAGAAGATTCAAGAGCTCGGAGTGGGAATCCAAGAGTGAGTGGTCTGTTTCCCTCGATGACTCTTGGACTTTGAAGTGGGATAGGCTGGGGACATCCTGACTGGGTTTAATCTGACAGTGCCCATACCCAGCCTGGTCCTGTGTATCTGCACTGGGGGCCTTTCAGGGTGTGTGTGCTGGATGTGGCTGGATGTGACCACTAGGCCATGCCTGGGCGGTCACATGCAGATCTTTTCTGAGGCCCTGACCATGTTCCTGTTCTCTCTATCTCCTTGAAGGGACGATGTGCAGGGTGGGAAGCTCACTGATAATGTGGATGCCAAGGACAGTGGCTTTAGTGGGGATGATGGAGACAACAAAAGGAAGGCGTTGAAAGGACTGTACTGCAGAATTGCATCAAAAAGTAAGTTGCGGGGGGAGGGGGAAGAGGGTTGTGGGGGACAGGAGGGAGAAATGACCCAAACAATGTACGCACATGTGAATAAATGAATAAGAAAAAAAGAAAAGTAAGTTGCAGCCTGATGCAAAGATAGATCTGCACAGACCTTTCTCCAATCCCCCTCCTCCCAGTAGCCACTGAGATCTTTCTAGAATGCAGATTAGGCCTCCAGTGTCTTCCCATTGCTCAAGGATGAAGACCAGGCCCCTCGTTGCCTGAATGCCTAGTGTCTCTCAGTATTTCAGTTTTTATCCCCTGCTACTCAGCTGCAACATCTCTTCTCCTCACCCCACAGTCCTTTCAGTGGCTTGACGCCCCTGCTCTGCTGGCATGGTCACAGGGCATTTATTAGATGCTGCTTCTCTGTTCCACTCATTCAGGCAACTCTTTCCAGGCAAGCCTCCTGGCTTCCCTAAGAAGGCCAGGTGTTCTGTGAGGCTCCCTGCTCTGCTTTCCCTGCATGTGTCAGGGTACTTTCATTTCTCAGTGACTATTTTGGTCCCAATTTGGTCATTGCCAATTCAATGCCCCATGTATACAAGGCTGTGGCTTTGTTGTTTTGATCTGTTGAGCCTTACAGTGTACCTTGGGAGACAGAGACTCTTGACAAGTCTTTGTTTAATTATTTCATTAATTCTTAATGAATTCACCACTATTGGCTGAGGAAACCTAAACCAGTCTGTTTGGACCTCTCTGTCCCAGGTATCCTGCCACAAGTTCAGACAGAGGAATGCGACCAGATTGCAGGAGGTGTGGTATGAGTTCACAGTCCTAAAAGGTGGACATCTTCCCTCACCCCAAAAGAAGGGCTTTCTTGGTCTTCAAGGCCATCAGTGGCTGGGGGATGCCATAGGGGTCCACATAAGGGCAGATGAGTGTCTTCTCTGACTTGTGCATCCTCCCTCTCTAACAGTATTTGGTCACAGTACTCTGAGCCTTGTTTTTGACTCAAGGCCATCCTTGAGGAGAGACTTTGTCTGCCAGGCTGAGTGTGTCCCCAAACCTCCATACAGGTAGACTGCATGTACCTCTTTCTCCTTCCTCTAGAATACAGGACGTGGATGCCTTGCTGCAGAGATGTTCGAGTCTGAAATTGGTCCTGATGAGGAGGAAGCCCTTCTTTGGATGAGATTCTGAACTTCTCACCCAATGATATATACCCCAAGAATCCCAATTTTTGAAAACAGTGCATGATGCTGAACTTGCAGGGATGCACAACTGGAACCAAGAGAAGCTGCGTTCTTTCCCATATGCTAGCTGGAGATGGTTTTTCCAGCCTGCACTTCCCTTTGGTTTGGATAAGTCTGTGTATCGGCTGCACCTGTCCTGAGAGGTTAGCCACGTGGCATGGGAAGCTGTCTTGGGGTGCCCTGCCTGGGATCATTCTTAGGTTTGATAATGAAAGTAAAAACAAGAAACTGATGAAGAGATTATGCAGAGTGCTTGTCCTACATTTTTCTCTGTGGAATTCTTTTCCTGTGGATATATAAAAACTTTTCACTTATTTTTATATGTATTTCGCTATCTTATCAAACTAATACCATGCTACAATGGTACATGAATGAATTATAAATATTTAAATATAACAAAAGCATGTTCTAGTTACAGTAGCTTTTTAAATGCAGTGCATATGCAAAATGAAGAAAAATATGAATATGAAATATAATTGGCACAGTTGCTGGGTGGGGGCAGAGGCGTGTTCTGCGAGCTTCTTTAATTGAGTTACAATTATAGCAAGATTTTGAATAAATCACGCTTTGAGGACACTTTCCAAGCTTGAAATCTGAAACTGTAACAAAATATCTGAGATAATCAACTTATAAGAAGAAGAGGCTTATTTTAATTCATAGTCAGTTGACTCTGATACTTCGGGCCTGTGGCAAGGCTCACCTCCTGATGGTTTAGGAAGTAAAGAGAGACAGCAGAGGCTGGGTCCAACATCCCCTTCAAGTGTATGCCACCAATGACCTAACTTCCTTCTATTATTCTCTGCCTCCTAAAGGTTCCACCACCTCCTGTAGCACCATAGGCTGGCAACAAAGCCTTCAACACACGGGCTTGGGGACACTCATCTGAATTAAAATGTATGCTCCACTGTTATGCAGCCATCACGCCTTTCAGCTCCAGAACTTCTCTATCCTATTAAAACAAAACTGCACACATTATACACTCCATTTCCCTTCCAGCTTCTGGCAACCATAATTCTTTCCATTTCTGTATTTGGCAACTGAATTGCAGTTGCATTCTGAGGAGGTGTATCCTCTGCAGAGTCCTCAGAGTATCTCCCTCTTTCTGTCCTGGTGCTCTACCCTCCCAGGCAGGGGAATCAGTTGGAGTCTGATCCCATGATCTGAGGCCTCTGTGCAGTGAGAACCAGGCCATATGCCATGTCAGGTATCATGTGACATGATGGCAACTGAAAGAAGCTCAGGAGGGGCTTTTTTCCCTTGGTTCCGAGAGGGTGTCTGGGCCCTTGTGGTTGCAGGAGCAAAACCCAAGGGCTTCCAGGCATAGAACCTGGGGCCAGACTTGTTGTCACACCTGATTGCTCATGGGCCATATTACTGAGCCGTTCCTGGGGTCCACTTCCTCATCTGCAAACTTGGGACAACAGTGACTCCCTCCCAAGACTGTGGAGAGGAGAGAGGATGAGGACCATGCAATGCTGACTCCATTAGTAGTCAGTGCAGTAGCAGTGTGTGCCTCAGCTCTTTCACTCTTCTTGGCTTAAAACCACATCTGGCATGGGGTGATAGAATCCCACGGCAATAAGTGGGAGCCTTGCTTGACCCTCTGATATGGTTGTTGGGTTCTGCCACCCTCCCAGACTTCTATTTCTTTGTATGTTTATATTGTTTATAAAGTAGTATACTACATGTATGGGATTCAATTTCAATTTAAAATTTTGGATATGTATTGGGCATTCTTTGTTTTAGTTATAAATAGGGCATTGTCATCTATGGAATTCAATCCTGCGATATAGTCAGAAGGCAAAAGTTACTCTTCATTATTCCTTCTCCTCACCCTCTCCTTGCATTCTCTCTCAATCTGACATCCTTTTCCAGTAGTTAATACTGAGTTTGTTGCTTATCCTTCTGGAACTAAGTGAGTCCTTTATAGTCATGTATATTAATATATGGTGTAGTTGAATTTTTAATTATAAGTGGATGTCATGACATATTTCATATATATTGTTCAAACTTCTGTTTTCACTCTCCAGTAATTGCTTCATGTTGTTACACACACACACACACACACACACACCTCACAAGCAGTCCACCTCAACCATGTGTCCTAATTTACTTAAGAATTTACCTATTCATGGATCTACATGTTGTTTCACATGTCCAACATCAGGTAATCAGGTATTAGAGTAAACCTTGTTACATAAGTTCTTTCTCATGTGAGCTTTTCAGTCCCATTGACTGATGAAAATGCTGTTCCTACTGACCTTGTGGCCACCACGGGGCACTCCGCCCCAACCACTGCCCATAGGCTTGGATGGAGGGAAAATAGGAGGGGCTATGGCAAGGATTACCATCACTCTCTAGAACTTTCTGTGCAGAGGGCTGGGCAGCATGAATTACACGTGCCTGTGGGCTGCCAGCCCAGCTGAGAGGCTTGCTCTTGAGGACAATCTCCCCTGTCCCACCCCCTGCTTCTCGGTGGTTGGAAACGGCAACAATCAGAATATCATGGAAGCCCTGTGGCAAATCAGTGCCACTCACCCTAGACTATTGTGGAAGAAGCACTTCCATCGTCTTCAGCCACTGATGGGTTCTCTGTGTTAGAAATGGATTTGTATGAAACATTCTGTAAGGGGAGCAATGACAGAGGTGGACTTTATTTTGACGAGAGAGGCACTTTAAAGCAGACAGCTAAAGCGTAATGGGAAACAATAGGCTTCTCACTGAGAAACAAGCCCCCTTACCCAAAATAACTAAACGCAGCTGCACACATGTGGGTAGTGGGTCCCAAGGCCAGGAAGAGCTGATCAGATCTTCTTAAAATGTTGTTTGATAAGGAGAAGGGAACAGACAGGTGACGCGAAATTCTGTGAGAAGCTGACTTGGACAATCACAAATATATGTTTTCTAAATGTAGAATAGGTTGGCACCTAAGCCAGGTAGTGCATTAATCAATCTAGACTTTCAGCTATACTGGTGGCCTTTAGCTTTTCCAAAGTGCCCTCCCGTTCAATGGGGAGCTTTGCTGGTCCTTCATAAATTTTTGTGCTTGCTTTACTTCTTAACTAAGATCTGGTGTCTCAAGTCGACTGACACCAGGGCACAAACTCTGGATAGCAATCCAATTCAGTTCTAGAATGGGACCCAATGAGAAGATCACGTGGACTTGAAGAATTTAGGGAAAGGAAGAACATCTGGACTCCTATGGATCTGTGGTAGAGAGAGGTTAGAGTGAGAGCTTTTTCAAGTGCGCTACTGCCACTGTGTCAAATTGTTGAATTTGTCGTAGGAAGTTCTTATTTCTGAAACGCCACAGGTCACATTGTGCTTTCAAATAGAAGAGTTCACAGGGTAAAATACACTGCAGAGATCACTGCTCAGTACAGATATATATCCTGGGAAGAAGAGGCAATGGGGCAGGAGGCCTATGAATTTTTCTGAGCCTTTGGTTCTTAGTCCCAGAAGCGACTGTGGTGAGCAACTGTCTCAAAGATTGAAGTTTGGGATAAGTGTCTGTATCTGGACCTAGACCTGGGTCCAGCCCAAGCCTTGAACACTTAGGATGAGCGGAGCCCACGAAAATACGAGATGACTAAAGCACCAGTCCTTAGGCGACACTTCAGTCTCACTAGTGACTAGCTGGGAAGTTTCTTTGGCCATCCTAGCAACGATTACGTTGCATCACCACTTCAAGTGGTCCTTAGATGCAGAGCCTTTTCCCTGGGCTGATAAACTGACAGCTCTGACTAAGTGAAGATGACATTGTTTATTCCAGGCATATGGGCAAAACAAACTACTATGGCTGAAAATGCTACAGCATACTTAATTTTGTCTAGATCAAGACCCCCATCCTAGGGACACTTTGTTTGCTAAAGTTAAAGACCTGGGATCCTGGGCACAACAGGGGTGCTGACTGTGGTCAGTTGTTTTTTTTTTTTTTTTTCATTTTCTTTTATTATTCATATGTGCATACAAAGGCTTTGGTTCATTTCTCCCCCCTGCCCCACCCCTCTCTGCCTCCCCCCCCTCAATACCCAGCAGAAACTATTTTGCCCTTATCTCTAATTTTGTTGTAGAGAGAGTATAAGCAATAATAGGAAGGAACAAGGGGTTTTTGCTGGTTGAGATAAGGATAGCTATAAGGGCATTGACTCACATTGATTCCTGTGCATGGGTGTTACCTTCTAGGTTAATTTCTTTTTAATCTAACCTTTTCTCTAGTTCCTGGTCCCCTTTTCCTATTGCCTCAGTTGCTTTTAAGGTATCTGCTTTAGTTTCTCTGCTTAAGGGCAACAAATGCTAGCTAGTTTTTTAGGTGTCTTACCTATCCTCACCTCCTTGTGTGCTCTCCTTTTATCATGTGCTCATAGTCCAATCCCCTTGTTGTGTTTGCCCTTGATCTAATGTCCACATATGAGGGGAACTATACGATTTTTTGGTCTTTGAGCCAGGCTAACCTCACTCAGAATGATGTTCTCCAATTCCATCCATTACCAGCGAATGAAACATTTCGTTCTTCTCATGGCTGCATAAAATTCCATTGTGTATAGATACCACATTTTCTTAATCCATTCGTCAGTGCTGGGGCATCTTGGCTGTTTCCATAACTTGGCTATTGTGAATAGTGCCAGCAATAAACATGGATGTGCAGGTGCCTCTGGAGTAACAGTCTTTTGGGTATATCCCCAAAGGTGGTATTGCTGGATCAAATGGTAGATCGATGTCCATGCTTTTTAAGTAGCCTCCAATTTTTTCCAGAGTGGTTGTACTAGTCTACATTCCCACCAACAGTGTAAGAGGGTTCCTTTTTCCCCCCGCATCCTCGCCAACACCTGTTGTTGGTGGTGTTGCTGATGATGGCTATTCTAACAGGGGTGAGGTGGAATCTAGTGTGGTTTTAATTTGCATTTCCTTTATTGCTAGAGATGGTGAGCATTTTTTCATGTGTTTTCTGGCCATTTGAATTTTCTTCTTTTGAGAAAGTTCTGTTTAGT